AGTGAGGACGCCTGAGGTCGCCTGAGGTCGACCAGCTAGCAATTCGACTTCGTGCTGAGCTGGTGGTCGACTTGTCTGCTAGGCTACTGATGTAGTTAATCTTACCAATCTAGTTGCTACCATTTTGCTCTCAACTTTTGCTAAGTGAAACTCTTGTAGTTTTTCCCTGTGGACGCACAAGTGCTAGAGAACGACTAAGTGAACGAACGAATGCAGAGATCCCTCCTACCCCGTGCCTAGCCTGTAGTCTAGCTCCCGTTGATAGAGTTATCTCCGCATAGTCGACAGTAGCAGCTGGACGCAGAGTGGTTAGGACTCCAGCAGGTGGTGCCAGCATCCGGGCCAGTTAGGATCTGGTACCCGCAAGGACCCACGTCGCGCCCACGACTAGCTGAGCCGCTGCTGCTGCCAGTACTCCTAGGACCCTCAGGTCCCCACTGCCGGGAGTGTTGTAGTTGCTGTCGCTGCGGCTGACCCTGCTGCTGCTGTAGAACTCTAACACACGCCATGGTAGGCACTAGAGACGGCCGAGCGCGGTGGGGAGCGGCTAGGAGGGTTGCTGGCTATAGCCCATGCTGCTGCTGGTTCTGTTGGGGGCAGCCTATGCTGCTGCTGGTTCTGCTAGGGGCAGCCTATGCTGTTGTTGTTGCTACTGGGGGCAGGCTATACTACTGCTGGTTCTGCAGGGGGCAGCCTATGCTGCTGCTGGTTCTGCTGGGGCCAGCCTATGCTGCTGCAAGTTCTGCTGGGGGGCAGCCTATGCTGCTGCTGGTTCTGGTGGCAGTCCAAGCTGCTGCTGGTTCTGGTGGCAGTCCAAGTTGCTGCTGGTTCTGGTGGGTCAAGAGCGGTGGGGAGCGGTTCTGGCCAGTTCTGGGCGGTTCTGGGCGGTTGTGGGCGGTTTTGGGCAGTCCTGGACAGTTCTGGACGGTTCTTGCCGGTTCTGGCCAGTTCTGGGCTGTCCTGGGCGGTTATGGGCGGTTCTGGGTGGTTCTGGGCGGTTCTGGGCGGCGGGTACAGGGTGGGGCGGCGGGCCCAGGGTGGGGCGGGACAGGTGGGGCTGCTGGCGCGTTTCTAGTAGCTGCTGGCACTGCTGGGGCGTTCCTAGCAGTTGCTGGCGCTGCCGGGGCGTTCCTAGCAGTTGTTGGCGCTGCTAGCACGGTTCTAGCGGCTGCCGATGCTGCTAGCACGGTTCTAGCGGCTGCTGAAGCTGCTGGGGTGTTTCTAGCGGCTGGTTTCAGGTGGGGCGGCTGGTTTAGCTCGTGGGGCGGCGGGTTAAGCTCATGGGGCGACGGGTTTCAGGTGGGGCGGCGGGCACAGGGTGCGGGGAGGCGACGGGATGGGGACGGGAGGAGACGGGGACGCGAACCCGAGGGCGACGGGGGCGCGACGTGGAGGGGGGCTGGGACGCGACGGAGAGGGGACGGGAGGTGACGGGGGCGCGACGGGAACGGGACGGGAGGCGACGGGGGCGCGACGGGGAGGACGACAGGGATGCGACGGGGGCGCGACGGGGAGGACGACAGGGATGCGACGGGGAGGGGACGGGGGGCGACGGGGGCGCGACTCGGAGGGGGGTACGGGAGGCGTCGGGAAGGGAACGGGGTCGCGACGTGGGGGGGGACCCGCGGGGGTCCATTCCTAGAGCGATCTGACGGGCCCGCGGGGGCGGTTCTAGGTCGTGACGTGGGGGGACCCGCGGGGGTCCTTTTCTAGCGCGATCTGACGGGCCCGCGGGGGCCGTGAGGGAGACTTGAGACAAGACGCTGGCTGGCCATGCTGCGGAGGCGTGGGATGGACGGGTGACCTAGACGGTGGTGCCACAAGACTGTCGGGTGGGAGAGTGACTGACAAGAGCAAGACGCAGCAACCAGACCAGACACAGCAACCTGACAGGACACAACAACCTGATTGGACACAGCAACCTGAGGGGACGCAGCAACCTAACCGGACTCTGCTACTTGGGGGGACGTTGTGTGCAGAACAAAGAGACCTGAGTGGGGCTCCCTGGTGAACGTAGGAAGAAGTGCGCCGGTGGAAGCGTTCGTACAGATCGCCGTCCTCCCGTGCGCAAGAAAGGCTGTGATTCACGGTCCTGAAGGTATCCAACACCCACCAAGTTTCGAGTGAACAAGGGGATGTAGAGACCGGTGAGGAAACCAGAAGGGACAGCCGAGCACGGGAGAGTGGTCGAGCTGCGAGCGACTGCTAGTCCTGAAGTAGGATCATCCAGGGCAACTGGGACTGGAGCCGAAAGAGGTGTGATAGTGGTGTGGTTGCGAAAGAAACACTGAGACGCGCCTGAGTCTAGAGTGAAGGAGAGCGACGTGGCAGCAGTCGTCACGGCTGGACTAGGGACTACACAAGCACCTACACTAGCAATAGGCAAAGGTCCTAAGCTAGGTACACGCAAGCCAAGAGACCCATACGTGACAGAACACATACGCATCCATAGACATAGAAAACATAGGGTAACCACTACGAGACAGACCGGGCTAGATCGGTGGCCTCGACTCATATCCAAAACGCTCGCGGTAGAGGTCGTCGAGGCGACTGTAGCAGCGCTGTGCAGAGTGGTCGGACGCCAGCAGTTAGTGCCAGCACCAGGGCCAGTCAGGATCCAGTACTGGCAGGGGCCGGCGTCGCGGCCACCGCGACGAGCCCCCCAGCTGGCTGGGCCGCTACTACAGCCAATGCTACCCGAACCACTAGGCCCCCACTGCTGCTGAGGGCGCCACCGCTGCTGAAGGCGCCACTGCTGCTGAGGCTCCCACTCCTGACACTACCGCTGATTCTGTCCCTGCTGCTGGAGAACCCTAGTGGACGCCATGGTGAAGGCTAGCTGGGTGTAGGAGCGGCAGGCTAGGAGTAGCTGGAGCTAGACACGGCCAGAACGAGGAATCGCTAGGCTAGGAACTACTGGCGCAAGGAACAGCTGGAGCTAGAAGCATCTGGAGCGAGGAACGCCTGGAGCAAAGCACGGCTGGAGCTAGGAGTGGCCGGAGCTAGGAGCAGGGCACGGCTGGAGCAAGACACGACTAGAGCAAGGCACGGCTGGAGCAAGGCATTGCTGGAGCACGGCACGGCTGGAGCAAGGCACGGGTGGAGCAGGGCACTGTTGGAGCTAGATACAACTGGAGCTAGGAGTGGCTGGAGCAAGGCACGGCTGGAGCAGGGCACGGCTGGAGCTAGACACGGCTGGAGCTAGGAGTGGCTGGAGGTAGGAGCAGCTGGAGCAAGGCACGGCTGGAGCAGGCCACGGCTTGAGCTAGACACGGCTGGAGCCAGGAGTGGCTGGAGGTAGGAGCGGCTGGAGCAAGGCACGGCTGGAGCTAGGAAGTGTTAGAGCGATACTAGGAACTACCGACAAATAGACACCAGCCTAGGAATAGTTGGCTAGGCAAGGCAGGCTAGGAACGCCAGTCGGGGCACAAAACCGAAACTACGCCAGGAAAGGTGACTGTGGCTGCCCGCCGCCGTTAGGGATGCCAAAGGCAGGAGGCGTGCACGAGACAATGGGCACTGGTGGTACTGCGGGAGACTATGGGTGGCAGGAAGAGGCTGTGGGCGACTAGGATGAGGTGTGGGCGGTTGGTGTCTGCTGCTGGTGGTAAGTTCCAGTTAGTGCGGCCTGTGCTAGCGCTTCTGTTGGCTGCGTGTAATGCAGCCATGCGCTGCTGTGTGGCGTGCGCAACGCTGCAGGTTCGTAGCTGCTGAGGCATGCCGCTGGCCGCCAGCGCTGCTGCTGCTGCTGCTGGCGGCTGCAGGCGCTAGCAATGCGGCTGCTGCTTGCGGCTGCAGGCACGAGCAATGCGGCTGTTGCTGGCAGCTGCGGGCGCTAGCGCTGCTGCTGCGTATGCACTGGCCGCAGACGTGCTGACTGCCGTGCGTGCGGCAATTTCTGTGCATGCGTGCGCAGCTGCTGTGCGTGCACGCGGCGGCTGGGCGTGCACTTGTGGCATGTGCGCGTGCGGCCTGCATGCAGGTGCACACGTGCGGATGTAGCTGTGCGTACGAGCGCGGTTGTGCATGCGCGCGCGGCTGTGCGTTCGCGTGCGGGTGTGCGTGTGCGCTCGACTGCTGCTGCTCGCGCGCTGCCTATGCGTGCGTGAGTAGCTGCAGTCGCGTTTTCGCCTGCTGCTAACAAACGCACCGGCGCAAGACCTAGCTGGTTAGGGCGTGCGGACTGGAGGACTAGGAGGGACGTGAGGGCTGGAGGGGAGGGAAACAAAGAACTAGGGCAGTTTAAGAACTAACTAGGCCTAGGAACTTAGCACGTGATACCATCTCAAGAGTAGGCTAGCGGAATGGTTCGACTAGTAGGAAACAAGGTACAAATAGGAATGACTGACATGCATATTTGTTATTTGACAAGAGAGGGGGGGGGGGGGGGGGGGGGGTAGTGTAAGGAAAATTCATTATCCTTATCGAGGTTGACTTCGCACGTTCGGCCAAACACTCACGATTGCGAGGTTGCCTCGCGTCGCCTTCGGTTTTCCTTCGCCAAACATGCACCCAACCTTGTATTCCCGAGGTTCCCGCCTAGCTAGGGTAGTCACTATATTATCGCGTGCCTTCGTTGTATTGTCAGTTCAGTTAGTCACAGCTTCGTTGTTCGTTTTCCGCGTAACTCTGTTTTACAACTCATAACAGGGCCCATTTATGTTACCTTTCACATATTTTCCCTTTGTTTTTTTTTTACCTAAGTATTTATTATTTTTAGAGCCTGCAGCCGAAACCAGCACTTCAGACGGTCAACGCTCTGCACCGTAGTCTTATAAGGGCAGTCTAAGCTACTTGTTCGTTGAAGCTTTTTCTTAGTTTGTCGGGGCGCGGGATTGGCACTTGCTACGTCCCCTAGTCTTAGTTATATCGCTGTCACAGCGGGCCAGTCGCGGATCGCCGTTGCGTATGCGGCAACGGCAGGGACGGGGGGCGGCGGCGGTGGCTGAGGATTGCGGGCCTGTTTGCGAAGGCGGGTGCGACCGGGCGGTTTTTATCGAATGTCGGCGCAAGTGTTTTTTTCGCCATGTCGCACCGCCACGCTCACTCGCCGTCCTCTCGCCAGTAGTCCGTCGACAGCTCATGACGTGCTAACACGTGGCGGATTAACGCTTCTCGGCGAATCGGCACGTGGTGTGCACCCATGTGGTCATGGCAGGTCAAGAGAGAACGCTCCTCTTCACCCCACGCCGCTTCGCTGCTCCCGTTCTCTCCATCCGTTACCATCTCCGTCTCACATCAAGCTGTATGCCAGGAGATCGCACAGTTCGCACTCTCGGGAGGCCATATTCTGCGAAAGCTTGACGACGGGTAACCAGAGGGCCAGGGTTAGGGTTTTCACCCAGTCGCCGCAGATACCTACCCGCGCGGCGCTCCATGGCCGCCACATTGCCGCCGCTGACTGGTCGAGTAGAAGGAGGACACGTGGCACCGACTGCTCCGCGGGTAACATTAGCAGCAGAGGTGAAAGTGAGGGGGTAGACAGCAGTGGTCGACGGGGCAGCCATCGGTGGCGCGTGCGCGTGGCAGCGGGCAGCGCGGGGGGTAGCCGCGGCTCAGACGGGGCCTCGCGCCCGTTGTCTGCTCCTGTGCCGCCGCCCGTTGTCCCCTCACCCGCAGCGGCGGCGGCGGCGGCGGCGGCGGCAGGGAGAGGGCAGCACGCCGCGGGCGCGGACAGGGACGATGGCAGCGCAACTCCCGGGAGGGGTGCCGCCGCCGCGTTGAACCAGGCAGAAACCGCTTCGGAACCTCCGCCGCACGGGGGCAGTACAACAGGGGCGGGAAGAGAGGGCGCAGGCGCGAATGCGCGCGCGGAGAGTCGGGACTGCATCGCGGACGAAGCCGCGGAGGCAGGTCCGGAGATGCGCGCGGAGGCGGAGGGCGGAAGCAGCGCGCGGTTCCGCGAGACGCTGCAGATGGTGGAGACGGCGATGCTGGCGGCGACGTCGGGGCTGGCGTTCTTCCTGGCGAACTCGCTCCGCGTGGAGGGCTACCTCGGGTTCTTCTTCCCGCTCCCCGCCGTCGTCGCCTCCATGCGCTGGGGCGCCACCGCGGGCCTGCGCACCGCGGTACGGGGGAGGGGGGTTGGCTTTGGGGGAGAGGGGGATGGAAGGGGAGGGGAAGGAAGGGGGGATGGGAGAGAAGGCGTGGGGAGATTGGGGTGAGGGACGAGGTGGGGGAATGGGAGTTTGTGGGGAAGGGACAATGGGGGGATGGGAAGAGGGTCAGAAGGGAAATGAGTTGGGGGGGGTTGGGTGAGAAGAGGGATGACCGGAAAGAAGGGGGGTAGGGAAGATTTTGAAGTGGGAAAAGGGAGGAGAGGGGGGAAGAGGGAGAGCGAGCGAGGGGAGGGGAGGGGGAATGAGAGAGGAAAGGGAGCGTGATTGGGGAGAGGAGAGGCCGAGAAGGGGGCGGGGTAGTGGACAGTCAAGGATACGGGATAAGGGGGGAACGGGAAGGAGGGGGCAAAGAGGGGATGAATGGGAGGAGGAGGAATTGGGATTGCAGGGGAGATGAGAAGGGAGTGGAGGTATAGCATTGCAAGAAAGGCATGAGAGTTGCACGTGAGAGCTGTGCCGAACCACGTGTGTCGTGTGTTGCACGTTAAGTCTTGCCCCTTCCATTGCCGCCCTTGTGACAGCATCCCAGCACACGACTTCGCTCCTCCATGCCCATGCGCACTTCTCCTTCCCTCGCCTTGCTTCCCTCCATCTCCCCTTCGCCTTCCTCTCAACCTCTCTCCCTCAACCCCACTTGCCCACTCGCATCCTTCTCCTCCCCTTCATTTCTCTCTTTCTCGTCCGCCCCTCCCATTGCCAATCGGCTTGCTCCTCTCTCTCCCCTCCCCCGCGAACTCAGATATCAGCAGCGTTTCTGCTGCTCGTCCTCGCAGGGCCCATCAAAGCAATCACCTTTCTTGTAAGTCCCACACTGTTGTCGTGCTCATCTGGCATTTCTTCTGCCTCTCACCTGTATTTGACCATGCCCACCTTCACCACTTCACTGTCGTGTATTCTCCTTTGTCTTCTCTGAATTCCCCTTTGTTTTCTTTTGCTGCTCTCGCCTCTCTCACTCCCTTCCCCCTCTCCCGCACTCCCTGTCTGCCTCAGGTTTCCACTTCTCCTCCCCTCCCCTCCCCTCCGCCTTTTCTCTCGCTCACTCCACCCGCTGCCCCTCTTCCCATCTGATTCCCCCTCCCTTGTGCCATTCCCTCATCAGCTGCTGCACGGCTTCCTTGGCTCCACTCTCGGTCTCTGCTGGGGGTGAGCACTCATGTGTGCATGTGCGTGGGTGTGGGTTGCACGCTCATCGTTGGTGCGATTGTGTGGTCCTTGTGTGTTTATGTTGGCGATTATGGGCTGGTCTGTGTATACCGGAAGCAACTGAGCACCTGCCATTGCTCGACGCCATGTTGACTGAAGCTTTGAATTCTTTACCTCACATTTTGATGTCCTTGCCGCTCACTGCAAGCCATCTTTCATGACATCACAACTCTGTCCCTGCTTGTTCTGTTGGTCACACCTCCCACCTGTCATCTCTGCCCCGCACACCTCCGTCCTCGGCAGTCTCGGTCTGTCTTGGCCCATCTCCATCCTCGCCTGCACATTCGTAAGCCTGCCTGTCTCGCAACCCACCGCCCCTCCACTCTCGCTCGCATCCCTCCTCGCCGGCACGCTCGGTGCCCTGTGATTCTTCCCCTGTACCTCTTTGCAGCTGTGATGATGGCCTTTGTGCTTCTTCTGCTCGTATGCCCCTGTGTTGCTATCCGCTTTCCTTTCAACCACTCCCGCCCTCTGCCATCCCGTCTCTGTCTCGCGTGCCTCAGGTGCGGGCAGCAGGAGCAGTGTCCTTTGTGCTGCTCTCCTCGTGGCTCATTCGAGAAAATATACTCAAACTGGTCCGTGCTGCTCAGCCGCTCTCTCGGCAATCCTCCTCCTCCTATTTTGCTTCATGTCCCACCATATGTCCATGCATCCAACTTCCCACCATGGTGGCAAGGCAACCGCCCCACTCTGCTCTTGCTTTCCCTGTCTCCTCCTCCCCTCCCCCCCTCTACCCTTTTCTCCCCCAACGCGTTCATCCCTCTCCCCACCCCCCTCCTTTACTCCGCCTATCACACTTGTCGTGCACCGCCTTGCCTTGCAGATCCTCATGAACGTGCAAGCGTCGCTCTCACACGTCTTTGCGGGCATCAGTGCCAGCCTCGTGCCCTCCTTCTCCCTCATCACCGTCATCTTCACCACCCTCGTGCGTGCCCCTCTCACTCCCTCACCCCGACACCAAGTGCCGCAGCAGACTACGGCATGGGTTTAGCCACTGCTCTCTACCACCATGTGCCGTTTCATGCTGACTCCTCCATGTGCCATGCTCTCCGCATCAATAAGTCCTCGCTGTCTCGCTTCGTGGGGATAATTTGTCTGGTGGATGCTCTTGCTTTGTCCTTCCCATTCCCCGCCTGCTTTGGCTGTTTGTTCATGTAAATTTTCTAAAGTCTTCCTAATGCTAACATTTTTGTGACTTTCCCCTCACTCAACTTCCTCCTTTTCCCCTTGCGATTCCCCTTCCCTTTTTTCAACGCGCGCGACATGGTTGGTTGGACAAATTGCCACACCAGTTGTTGTTCAACTCAGCGTCCTTCTCGCTTCTCCTTCACATTCTTTACACACTTTTTCTGCGGCGACTTGGGATTGCAACACCAACACAGTTACCCAACTGGATGGAGCGGTCATTGTAGTACAACGTAGTCACAACCACCTGTGTTTCGAACAACAATCTAGGGGGCACTAACAACTAGAGGATGTTTGGTATTTCTTTGTCAGAAGAGAGTAAGTAGCCCCTCATTATTAGTTGAGTTGGTATATCATTTTACTGCCTTTTTTAGCCTTACCGTTCCTTTCTTACCGAGACAGAGAGCTGCTGGGCGCGAAGCATACTACCAACGACCGACATGTAACCATGTTTGTCGCATTCGGCACGGAACCGAGCATCCGCACAACCCACGCAATTCACTTTTATCTTGATGCATCGTCATGCAAACCAATGCATCACCATGTCTGACGGTGCAAACATGTGCTCCAGCTCAATCGAGATATTTCTCGAGTGTTCGCATCCAGCTTTGGAAAGGCCAAAACATACGTCACATCATGCAGATGTGCGGATGGTTTGCAATATATATTCCAAATTTTATTCTCTCGATTCATCTGGAAACACCGAGGCGCGTGAGAATGGAACCGCATGCTGCTTTCATGCAATGTGGTGGCGATGCTCATCACAAGCCCTGATGAAGTAGAGCCAACGCAGGTGCTTGAATTCGTCATCTAAACCTCTTCGGTATCATCAGCGCTAAGCAAACGCATCGCTCACCAAGCTCGCAACGCTCGCAAAGCCTGCAACGCTCATCACCCAGAGACAAAGAACACGCCCGTTGCATCTTATATTGTCGCGCGAGTTAGAGAGCTCCTTGTGCTGCTTGAATCTTTGCGGACGACTGTCACCATGGCTTCCACAACTGCTCTTGCGCTTCGCAGCGTGCCTCTCCTTCTACGGACTCCTCTTCTTCTCAAGAAACCAGGTACGCCATGCGTATTGCTGTGACAATAAATTCGGGCTTTTGTGCAATATATTGACTAATTGCTTGCATAGTAAAACTGCAACCTTAACATCTCTCTTTCCGCGTCCCAACGCAGACATTTTGAAGGTGCCTCGATGCGTGTCAGGGTCGCGCACTATCTTCGCATCGGCGGAGAAGCCTCAGCAGCAGCAGCAATCCCAGCAGCAGTCGCAGGATGATAAGCAGATGGTGCAGCACGAGGCGACGCCCATGGCAGCGGAGAGGAGGGGCCAGAGGGAACTGACATCCCGTGCTGTCGCTCCGATTGGGGCCTTTTCAGGTAAGAAGCCCGAGCATGGAACGCATTCGCGACATTCTGAATCTTTATTTTCGCTGCATGAAAAATCCTGTCTTATAAGATTTCTCATCCGAGTGCGGCTACCTTCAAAGGACGGCAAGTGACATTTCTCATCGTCTCCGTTCATGCCTGGCAGACCTATTCGACCCGTTCTTTCCGGCGAACCGCTCGCTGACGCAGCTTCTCGACTCCGTGGACCGCATGTTCGACGACGCGCTCCTGCCGCCCATGCCGCGCTTCCCCTCTCTCTTCCGCGCCACCTCGTCCCTCGGCGCCAGCAGCGCTGCCGCGCGCCCGGCTGTGGCGGTGAGGACGCCGTGGGACGTGCGCGAGACGGACGACGCCTTCCACATCCGCCTCGACATGCCAGGTGCGCCGTCCGCCCTGCCTCCTGTTTCATACACGAATAATTTTCTTCTGCTGATTCGCAGCGATGAGATTATTGTACTTTTGCTCTGCTGGCGTTTTTGGTGGTGACGCATGCAGGTCTGTCCAAGGAGGAGGTGTCGGTGAAGCTGGAGAATGGCAGTCTGGTGATTCGCGGAGAGCACAAGGTGGAGGAGAAGGGCGGAGAGGAGGGAGAGGGACTCTGGGATGCGCGCATCGCCAAGTCTTACCAGGTGAGGTGCATCGAGAAGTTGCTACTTCATCTGTCCTGACAAAATCTGCAGAACAAATTTTTTTGGGCGCATCTTGTTTCAAAGTGTTGATGTTTTGCATCGTCGATTCACCCGCATCTTCTTTCAAATTCGTAATGTTGCTGGTTTTGCAGACTACTCTGGCCCTTCCGGACAACGTTCTCACGGATCAGATTAAGGCGGAGATGAAGAATGGTGTGCTCACTGTCACTATGGCCAAGGAAACTCCGCCCGAGGCTGCTCCCTCTGCCATCGAGATCCCAGTTGCTTGAAGGGAATGATTCTTGATTGTGATTCGCGCTCTCATTTAGAGCACGAGATTTCGAAGTGTACAATTTCGTAGCCTTTACTGGAGTTACTTGAAAGGCAGGCTGTTGTGTGTGATGTTTTGTTAGTGTACAGCTTTCAGTTTGCATTTTGGTGTTGAGATTGAGCATTGTACGATGAATACGGTACTCTGTGCAAGATTGATCGCCCCAACTACAACAAATATGTAATACGGATGTTCCAAACCACAACCACAATCCAGTCCTTTATGCAGTCTGGCTGGCCAGCGCACCGGTAACTTGGGAGCGTACCCTTGCTATAGGTAACCACAGATGAAACAGCCTGACAACAGAAAGAAACGTCTGTTTTGATCCACCAGGCTATTATTGCAAAAACAATGTGGTGTGTATAATGGATTTGCATTCTGCTGTGCTAAGGTGGAACCCATTTGCCTGATGTGAAAGTGCCATAGAAGGGGCTTCTTGTTGACACCGCATAGAATACTGAAGCATGCGGTTTGCACAGCATAATGCGTAGGGCATTAGGGGTGGAGAGAGGGCCGAGGGGCGGGCAAGGGAACGGGGGGGTCGGAGTGTGGAGAAAGAAACGAGAAACACACTGTTGAAATGACAAACATGACTTGAAAGTCCTCCACGTTGTATGCAAGATGAATGGACATGGAAAACGACGACTCACCAGGGACACCTGGAACGATATGATTGGGTAGTGTGAGCACTTTCGCGAGGGGCTGGTCGAGAGGCACTTGCACCCACTACTGCTCGCCCGATGCTGTAGTGGTAGCACATGTGGGTGAATTTAGTGGCGAGGCGAGCACATGCGAGAGGACATTCATGCGGTACGAGGAGTGAGAGCGAAAAGGAGAGAGAGGGAGAGGGGCTCGGAGAGAAGGGCTCGAGATGGAAAGGCAAAATGGGAAAGGAAGGTTGTGCGGCAGAGATGGAACGGGAAAAGACCACATGTGTGGAGGAAAAATGACGAGTGATCTTGAGCGAGGCAAGCACATGAATGGTAAGGACGAGCCACCTCGCCTTCCACTTGTTAAATACACCAACATAAGATATTACAAATGCTGTTAGATTTTACTGTAGTGTTCCTTTATAAGACTCCCAGCCCGCCAATAATTGTACAATTATTGGAAGGCCAGAATTATTGGAGTCTAGAATTATTGGAGGGTAAGAATTATTGGCGGGTTGAATTTTTGGTGTAGGATTATTGGTGTGGACAGGGCCCTCCTGATAGGGTGAGCTGCTGATATATATACCCTGCTCTGTCATTCCAGGAAATCAATCAATTCCATTATTCTCGTTCTGCTTTTAACCATTCAGTACAAGTCTTCCAGCCTTGCTCTTTCTACAAACTAGCTTCCGCAACGCCGGCATCATGCCTTTCTAGCATGGTATCAGAGCAACTTTAGGGGGCATGCTGCCGAAATTTCGTCAGAACTCTACCATCATCTACATTGGTTAATCAGATTAGCAAATCTGCACAGCAAGTGGCAACACTTGGGGTGAAGGCATGGCGCGGTTCGACGAGGAAGTTGATGCTGGATACGAGGCGTTCGAAGAAGCAATCTTGGCTCAACATGAGCACCTGGAAAACATGATTGCAAGAGCACCACCGACACTCCAAGCTTCTTTAAAAGCAAAATTCAACATGCCAGCCCAAGTTCGAGATTCCAGCAACCCCTCTATCCGTGGACAGTCACATGCAAACTCTTCGCGTACTAACCAAACCCACACTTCAAATGTGGATGCAGGAATTGAAGGTGAAGGGGAAGGAAGCGTACCCCAAGGAGGAGAGTCATCCCAAGGGAGGGATGCATCCTTCCAAGGAGAGGGGAGCTCCCACCCCGAACCTCAATCAACCATGCAAAGGGAAGCATTGGGGAGGGATGATGAGTACGGGAGTGGAAGGGATGTGAGGGAACATGGTGATGGGTCTGGCGTGGGAAGAAACATGTAAGGGCAGATTGGTGAAGGAAGTGGTAGAAGTAGTTATGTGGGCATGGAGGGTGTTGGATTCGAATCCTACACTATTGGTGCTCCCCCACTACGCCGACTTGCCACTAACTCCCATCCCATTGGAGTTCCCATAATGGGCAGATCTCACCTTTATGGCGACGTCATACCTCCTCGTGCGCAATGGTCTCAACCGGAAGCTGTACCTGCAGGAAGCATTGGGCGCATGGGGCACGGGATGCAATCAAGTGGAGTTATGCGACGTGACCAAGTGGAGGTGGTGGAACGTGAAGGCACACAACGCACTGTGCAACTGCCTCGACCATCTACCGTGCCAACACTTTTCGACCCGTCTCCTCGCGAATACAACGAAGAAGACAAAGACAGGATGTCGCGCAAGATGGTGGGAGCATCGGTGGACAAAGCGTTCACCACAACCCCGTTCGACGGCACTAACTTTCGAGAGTGGGCTCTTCGGTTTCGCATGAACGCGCGCGTGACAAATCCGTGGGAGTTTTTCGTGACACTGCGATACCCAGTTACAATGGCGAATGGAGAAATGCGAGATGCAATGAAACGGCTGGAAGCTCTGCAAGCGGATTACTCACAACGTGCTACGCTGGCCTTTTGGGTGCTTCTACATAGCGTGAGCGCAACGATTCAGCTACAACTGGACGTGTTCCAAGAGTCATACAGTCCGGCATTCGAAGCATGGGAGTACCTGATGGAGACTTACCAGGCGAAGGATTCGGTGGCAAAGGCGTCTCTCCAAAGACAATTGGACAACTTGAAGATGGGGAGCCAAGAAAGAGTGGAGGAATACATCAACCGAGCAACGGCAATTCGGGACAAGCTGGCAATGGCAGGAAAAATGGTGGATGAAGATTCATTCACCTTAAATCTGATTACCGGGCTGCCACCGCATTGGGAGGAGCTAAGGCATTCGGCAATGCTACACGACATCTCGGATAGCTACACACTACAACGAATGATGATACAGGAACAACGCTACCAAGACCTCATTAGCAAGACCAACCGTGACAAACGTCCTCCCCGCATGGCCGATCAAGCACGTGGAGACACTTCACCAGCAAAGGAGAGGACCAAGACAAAGGGCAACCAAAATGCGGCAAAATGAACGGGAGGGCAGCATGCGGCGATTGGGGAAAAATCCAAGGACAACGAAGGAAGGAGAGGGCGCTCAAACCTTGTGTGTTGGTACTGCAAGGAACCCGGCCACCCGTTCTACAAGTGTCCTAAGGCGCCTCCGAGTTGGTCACCACCAGGTTGGGAACCTCAAAACAGAGGGAGGACAAACCAGCACACCTGGAGTAACCGTTCGTCCTCGCCTCGAAGGAGTGAAAGCCCGAAACGTGATAGCCAAGCGCCAAAACAGCAAGGAGCAGCCGGGGGAGACAACAAACGAACCGTATCATGCATTGCAACGGTTCGATCGTCGCAAGCAACATTACCATCAACCGAAGGGTCGATGTGGTTGCTGGACAGCGGATGCAGCCAACACATGACTTCAGAAAAGGATTGGTTTGAGGGACTAGAGGAGCTGAACGAACCCGTTTACGTGGAGCTTGCTGACGGAAGCCACATGTTGAGCTCGATGGCGGGAACAATTCGAGCAACGGCACCCGATGAAACAACTGTGCACTACACGGACGTGCTCTACGTACCCGGCTTGAAGTCCAACCTGCTCTCCTATTGTCAGATGTACAAGAAGGGAGCTCGAATTCACACACGTGAGGATGGGCACACGGAGATAACAATGGAGGATGGAGATGAACATGTACTCATTGGACTTGGAATGGTCATCCATGGGGTGCTAATGGTGCAATATGAGCCTGCACTTACATCCGCCCATGAATCTGGTCATGATCATCCGAATGACGCATTGAATGCGACTGATCTTGGAGGGCTGAATGTGCAATCTGCTCATGCATCCGTCACTTATCGCATGGCCCACAAGCGCTTGGGTCACCCATCATACACATCCATGGATGCAACGTTTCGCAATGGAGATGTTGAAGGACTCCCCATATCCGACAAGGCAAACCCCGTCAAACCCCCGTGTGACTCATGTCTTCGAGGGAAGATGAGCAAGGCCCCATTTCCCACAGGTGGCGACAAGCGCACAACTCGACCTTTGGAGCTCGTGCATAGCGATATTATGGACTTGGGTGACGCTCACCCCACACTTCGCTACGTGCTGACGCTGAAGGACGACTACACCAACTACCTGTGGGTGGCGCCGTTGGCTCGCCGATCCGACATGGCAGCTGTTTTCTCGACTTGGCATCGCGAAATGAAGACCAAGTTGCCCACGAAGCCGCTGGCTGCCTTACGCACGGACAACGGGGGGGAGTATACCGCAAATGCTTTCACGGATTACCTGAGCTCTCATGGCATAAGTCACCAAACGTCTCTACCACACACACCGCAGCAGAATGGGGTCGCCGAACGGGTCAACCGCACGCTCATGGACCGAGTGCGTGCAATGACCACCGGAGCCAGCCTTTCCTCTAAGTTCTGGCCTTACGCACTGGAGTACGCAGCATGGTTACACAACCGCATCAGCTGCAACAGCAACCCGTCAGCACACTTACCATACTTCATGATGACGGGAAGGGCAGCAGATGTTTCAATGGCAAGAACTTTTGGATGCCTCTGCTACTATCTCCCTCCCCAAGGCAGCTTTGGGAAGTTCGAGCAAAGAGGAAGAGTTGGCATGTTCCTTGGACATCTCCAATGCATTTCTGTACGCTCCAATCGATCGGGACATATACGTGAGACCACCAGAACCAAGGCGGGACGGAGACAAAGTCTGGAAACTCAAAAGAAGTGTATATGGGCTGAAACAAGCACCACGTTTGTGGCATCAACACTTACGGGGGTGTCTTGTTGGAGCTGGACATGGTGCAATCCGAATCTGATCCATCCTTATTTATCTGGGAAAGAGAAGGAAAGAACACTGTGTGGCTACTCACCTACGTTGACGACATCCTCATCCAGTCTCA